TGTGTGTATATGTATGTAGAAAAAATTGAAATACGACATCAATTACCTACTTTACATATAGGCTCTGTCGTGGGCAGTATTAATCATAAGTGGACAGTAAAACCATTTAATTGCACAGACAATACACGTGACATGAGTTTTAGCGCGGTTTTATTTACATACAAGAGATGTGCAAATTACGATTGTCAAACGGTTGCCAAAACGCGCTCTTGATAATTTCCTGATGTATCACAAATTCATGACACAATATTTCTTACAAGTGAATTAACCAGCAGTAATAAATCTATGGCATCCAACTACCTATATCAGATATCCAGCCAAGACGACCGGAAAGCACGACAAGAAATATAACCAATGAAAGGAAATTATCAAAAAATATCACATCATAATTTTCGTTTATATAGACCTTATGCATGCATGCATAATGACTTCTCAAGCCGTGACGCCTGCAGGGAATTCTGGTTTTAGTAGTCACTGCGAAAAATTCAAACTTCAAAATTTCCCGCCGTGATTACTGAGACCAGAATTCTCTGCAGGCGCTTGACTTGATTGCAGGAATTCATGGCTTGTTATGTCGTTATGCATAAGGTCTATTAATTAAAGAAATTCGGCGATTCTTTTGCGATTTTGTAAGGATGGATTTTCTTCCTTCGATAGCTTCGACTTTCACCCCAAGCATTTTTAATTGTTCGTTCGTTTGCATCCGTGGAAAGAAGAAAATCGCGATTAAAACCGCGGATGATATATTTGCATATGAAAACCTGCCGAAGACAGGTTTTAGCCTTTGAAAATAACGGTGAAATCACGGGGGAATAACTGGTTAGGAATCTTCACGTGCCTTATGTAAAACATGCGTCATCAACACTTCATTTTAATATCAAGTTTCACCTGAATTACACGATTCAATCACGTGTCTTGAAGATACCCCTGTATGACCCTCAAAGTACATCTACATATTGCTTGAAATCGTTGGTTTGGTTTAGTGTACGTAGACCAAAATATAGTGTATAACTGAATAGCGTGCTGTTTGGCGTTTTTTGTATAATCACATACGAGAATTTTCTTAACTTGTCTGCCGTTAAAAAGTGTAAAAAAATAAAAAAAATAAAAGAGATCATGCTCGATGGCTATGCTACGTCATTGGCTGTCGTTATTCTAATGTATCTGTCAATCACTCTAAGAGTTAGTTCTATTAAGGGTAAGTTATTTCAGCTCTTCTATGAGTGAGAGGTATGAACAATCAGATTCGTGTATTGTGAAGTGAACTACGAGGTTTAACTACGTCAAAAGTCGATGCGGATTTCATACAACTCTAGCAGCGCTGATGTAAAACAGTTTGGCAAAAAATTTCGTGGTGCAAATAGCGCACGTTTTTGACCTAAGGTCAACTTTAAAACAGGAAATTAGTACACCCATCCTGCCCCTAATGCGGCTTAACTTGCAGGTCAAGAATAAGGAATGACAGAGTTTTTTATCAGTAATGTCTTCCGAGAAAAATAGTTATAAACACACTTCCCGAACATGCTTTAGTGCACGGCGAAACAATAGCTTGGAAACGAGGCACGCGATGAAATCTATTGTTTATGGGATGCTTTTCATTGCCCGAGAACAAATTCAGGAAGTTTTTATACCACAGAGAAAATCATGTCTATTGTGAGCGCTATGTGCACTAACCAATCCCGGGCAAGTTATATCAAGTCTGGCCCTATCAGCCACTGATCTCTCAATACACTGAATATGCAACTATACCCCATTACTACGAAAATCAGATGATTCAAAATTGATGAAATCTCAGAGGATAAGCAAAATGTTTGTTGTGTTTTTCAAGGATATTACAGCGCGACAACAGATGAGGAAATTCTGAACGTCGGCGATAAATTGCAATTGAAAAGTTTCGATAAGAAAGAAGAGAAATTGATCTGCGTCAACCAAAATGGTCAGACTATCGAATTGCCGAAAGATTGTGTGGCGGGCTTTCAACCTCTGACGGATGGAAAGGAGTACTTTCTCGCCGAGATCCCAACGCAGTTCCCGATGCCCTTGTATGTTCAGTTCGTCGATCCGCCACTCGTGGGCAAACAGAATCGTTCGGCCGATTCGTTTTTCAACTCGTCGTTAGGCGCGATCTATCTGGAAAATTCTTACACCGAAGACATTATTATCGCGTCCACTATCAGCCAAGATGGACGCCGAACTGTGGTGACCTTTCCTCGTGAGATCGACATCAGATTGGCCGTTTGCGAGGGAATGTTGCAAAACACTGTGGCCTACGCGAAGATTTGCCAGGCATTGAACCGCGGGATGGATTTAAACCACCTGATCCTCATCGACACCGTAAGCGCTTTTCGACCAAGGAATTCTGTACGTGAATATCCTTACAGAGAACTGATCGATCCATCGATGTTCGCAAATGTCCCGGAGACGGGTTTGGAAACATTTGAAGGCCTTCACACGTACTCGGAAGTTAAAAAGCCCGTAGAGAGCAATCCCGTACCGACGGACAAAGAGCTCAAACCTGATACGCATGCTCCAGACGCAAGCGACGACAAAGCGGTTGGCACCAATGGAGCGGTCGTGAGCGAAGGGCCTGAGGCGAGCAAGTCGCATGACTACGAGAATGAAGACTGGGTACAAGAGAAGGTGAGGTGCCAATCAAAAGGGAGGATGACACCCCCGATGAAGCCACAGAGATTGGTGAACAACATCAAAAAAGATGGTGAAGGTAGGTTTCTTAATGCTTGGAAAACTTGTTTTTAACTGTGGGCTTTTCCATGGGGATAAGCCGACAGAGAATTGTATTACTTTTTTTTAATACGTGAGGGCATATAAACATGGTTTTCTTCTTTTGATGGATGCGAACGAGTGAATTAGTTACGTATGTTCAAATAAGAGCTCATATACCTCAGAGCATTTGTAACTGCCCACTCGTTCACATCTATCAAAAGAAGGAATCTGAAAATCGCAGCAAAAATCTCATGTATAAACAGCTGTTTAATCATCTTTTTTAAAACAATCAGAAATCAAGACCGACAGCAGCAGTCTTTCCTCTCAGAGCGACGATAGCGAAATTGCGAAAATCGAGGTGTCCGGAGTGGACAGCGGTACTGCTTCAAAACGTGTCGACATCTCGCAGCACTCTGTGAAACAAGTGTGCGAGATTTTGAAAGAATTGGGTATGGACAGATATATTGTTAAGTTTGAGTCAGAGAAGATTGACGGTGAGATGCTGATGTGTCTGGACAATGACATTCTGATGGCTGATTTTGGAATGAACAAGTTGCACTGCATGAAACTGAAGAAATATCTGGAAGGATGGAGACCCAGGGTTTAGTGAACAATGGCAAAATAGATCATGTTTTTGTCGCAGAGAATAGATTTAGGTGAAGTGAAAATTAATTTATAGAAACAGTTGAACCCTTTGAGGGTACATCAAATATTGATTATAGGACCTTATCTCTGGCCATAGCCAGGCCACAGCCAGGGTAGAGTTAACACATAATGAATGCCCAGGTCAAAACTGTACTTTTTACACTATGTATGACCCTCGTCTGGGTGCTTAAGTGCGTTCAAATTATAAAAAACTATGCTGAAGCCTGGCCTATGCTGGGCACAGACTTTTGTGGTATATTAAACATGTCTTCAAAGGCCACCTTCTCAATGTGGCCAACTCTATGATAAAGTTATAAAAGTCTCATTACATGAATACCTAACTGATTTAATAATACAATGGATTGAGCAACTATTGTCGAAACCAAAATTAATGAATTGGAATGCCCATTGATGTATTTATGCAACGGGTAACTTGTCTTTTAATGGTTAGAGTTTCAGTTTGCATCAGGTTCTATCTGTTTCATCTTAGGGGCAACCCTCTAATATGGCTACCTCTCCAATAGGGTGACCTCTCTAATAGGGACATCCCCCCAATATGGACACCTCTCAAAAATAGCAACATTTCCCCAATGGGGACAACTCCCTAATAGAGTAATCTCCCCAATGGAGACACCTCTTAAATAGGAACATCTCCCCAATAGGAACATCTCCCCAAGAGGGTAACTGCCCCAATTGGGACATCTCCCCAATATGGACACCTCTCAAATAGGGATATCTTCCCAAAGGGGACACCTCTTCAATACAAGCGACACCTCTGAAATAGGGACACCTCCCTAATAGGGACATCTCCCCAATATGGACACCTCTCAAATAGGGATATCTCCCCAAAGGGGACACCTCTTCAATACAGGCAACACCTCCCTAATAGGGACACCTCCCTAATAGGGACATCTCCCCAATACGGACACCTCTTAAATAGGGACATCTCCCCTGTGGGGACACCTCTCCAATACAGACACCTCTCAAATAGAGACATCCCCCCAATACCGACACCTCTCAAATAGGGACATCTCCCCAATGGGGACACATCTCAAGTACAGGCGACACCTCTTCAATACAGTCGTCACCTCTCAAATAACATGAACCGCAAATTTCAAAATTGCATGTTTCAATTTTTCTGCACAAATGCAGAATATAAAAACTTCACAAGATGTTTATTGGAAATTTTGGTGCCAATAAATGGTCACAAGGGGCCATTCATCTGGCCAAAGGTGCAGTGCAAGGGTGAAAATTGCAACCCTGACCCACTCAATAAAAGCTAATGGTCGAAGAAACATTTATTACAAGCTGAATACTTTATAAAAGATCAAAATTATGTTTTCTCATGACTTAATATTTCATTGTAAAAAGGCAGAGAAAAATTTGATCAATTGTCGAGATGAACCATTTTCAAAGGTCCAAAATGAATGTGAACACATTTTAAAATCTAAATATTTCGAATGAAATGTGCATCTTCCCTTGAATTTTTGGCACCCCTTGAGGAAAATACGAAAACCCGTCCATGCTTTGCACAAATTTGCTAAGATCAACAACCCGTCCCTACTTTTAAGTGTATTATAACTCAGGCTATTTGATAAGAAACTGCAAACAAGTTAAAACTGCGAATTTACCTTTGGAGCAGCGATGAACATGTTTGAATCTCGTACAAGCATTTCTTTTCGAACAATCTCACGACATTATTTCGTAACATCCAGGACATTCTAAGGTCGGAAAATAAACACGATTTTAGTCTGTTATTTGTAAAATAAGCGACGTGAAACTTCAAGTAGTTAAAGTTTAAAACTCACCTAAGCCATTGCATCGGCTGATGTAAACCCAGATGGCCATTTCGCACAAGAAATTCAACTTTTCAATCACAAAAATTCTCAGTTCCACAACTTTGCAACAAGCCATCTTCTGCTTCCACGAGTTCGCGGTGTCAAAGGTGAGATAGATCACGTGTCAGTCAGGATCATCTGTGATTGGTTGCACTTAATGCGCAAAACATGCAAATTAGCAGACAGCATAGTCATCTCTTTAATTTAATAATAGGTTTATCCGTTGTTTTTTAGAAAAAATCTGTCAACAAACGATATTTTGATGATTGGATATGATAAACCGTTTATTGTGTGGTTTTTGGGTTTCCGTGTTTGAATGAAAGATATCCTGTACGAGAACTTATGGCTCGGTTTTACACGATCAAACCGTAGGTATTCTTTTGGGGAATTAAAACAATGATACACCTGCGCTATTAAAACCTGATAAAACTTATAACTTTTCAAGAATTTACCTAAACATAATTTCAACCGTGATCACAAAACGTAAACAAGACTATGTGTTAGTAGATAACCGCATAACTTAGCTGTTAGTAACTGCAAAAGGTTCGTAAAACAATCTCATTTTATATATCTTATATCTTATCGTAAAAGCATGATCTAATTTGAATGTGGTTTGAGGTCAGGGATGCATTTTCTCACCATGAAACGGAAATCAATAATTTAAAGTTCAAATGATATATTTCAACTCTTTGAGACCTGGGCGGTCGGTTGTTCAAAAGGCGTTTTAGTTTAAAATTACTCGCATACATCTTGTGAATGACTGAACCTGGATTTTATTCATTAAAAATGTACTTTCATAAAAAATTGAGCTATTTACATCGAGGTAGTTCAGCTCATTTGATTAAGAGATCATTTTGTTTTCCATTTTGAACTTATCCACCGTTTAAGCTAAACGCCTTCAGTTCGAACAACCGGCCCCAGACTATTAATTACCGGCCAAACGACGGTAGCCAAAATGAACTTTACCACCCAGAATTGATATAATTCATCGGTGATTATACCATCCATGACTAAATCTATGACAGCGATGCGGTTGTCACAGATACTGGAGACAAAAAGTTAAAACTATACTGTTAGAAACACGAGTTTACTTTGTTTTAGGTGCGTCTGTTAGGGCTGCTTTCATTTTATAGTAAATGTCATGAACTAGTCAATGGGTTGATGTATTAGAATACTTGCTTATTGCTATGTGCATGCAGTCAGCAATGATTAATAATTTACATAGAGACTATCAACTGACAAATCGTTTACAAATCATTTTTTCAAATCAGTTAAAATAATTTGTTCACGGTATTCAGTTACAACTGATGAGACAAACCAGCCCTAATTTTATTTACTAATTGTACAGATTATAATTTTCATTCCACGCTGGTGAAGCTGTTTGTGTGGATAATTTTTTCTTCAGCTACGTCCTAATCTTAGGTTTGATAAACCTTGAACTCGCAATTGTTTTGACGTGTTTCACGGGCGAAATACGTCAATGACATGGGTGGTTTTCAAGGGATTTAGTTAGAGGTGGAACACCGGAACGATGCAGAGTCAAGGGATGGGAAGCTTTTTTTTGCAAAATAACGAAGTGAACTTTTCAGTTTTTCTCGATATTTGATGGTTGATTGTCAAAGTGTCTGGATGGTTTAGTATCTGAATCGTTCACCATGCACCAGCTTTTGAAGTTCCTGCGTTTCTATCAGTTACAGAAACAACTTTATACGCGAATCCGAGTATCCGACCCAAATATTGCAAGACAATTTTCAAAACGGATAAGCCCATCGTTTCCCCCATGCATCATCCTCTTCCTCTACATGCCATGCTACAGTTTAACTCCACAGTAAAATTTGCAACAAAGCATAAAAAAAGTAAAATAATATAAACACCAGAACTGGGGAGTCTCATGTGATTTACCAAATTCTAGAAAGTTCAACTTCTCTCCGATTGACTCATTAATCTCGCGACCTTATCAACGACCTTGTCCTATTGTTCAACTAATGCTGATATAAGCGACGTGATAAAACAGCACCCGTCGGCCCCGTCTTCTACCTGGATAAGCGGCAAAACCAGATGGAGCACCCACTATAGGATTATCCCTGCATGAATTTATTCCCTAAACCGATATTTTTATGACCAAATCAATTTGGCAGGATATAGTGGCAGACACAGTCTGGACACTCTGAGTTGAAACGTGCTTCCATAGTTGATGGGTCGCATGTGTTTGGCAATTCAAATTGGAAACAATGCAATTTGTCGTAGTTAAGTTTAATCGCTTATCTATAAATGCGACGAATTTTGAAAGTCGGCACCGCATCGGCTGCATCCAGTGCAGTTTAGTGCAGACATGTAGTAGTATCCACAAGGACGGTATTATTTTAAGAATAATCTGTTGATCTTAGCGACATTTCTGCAATCAAATGTAACAATATCCGTACGCGATCAGGTGATCTCGTGACTTGCGTCAACAACGCGGAAAATCATTGAAAAAATCTGGCCCTTGACGCATTTGCGTAATAGCACCGCCTAGTCACGGATATGTTTGTCGCTTGAGTCCTTCGTACGTAGAATCAAGCCCCCTGGAAGTTTTTTTTCTGTTCGAAGAAATGCAGGTAGATCTTGAATCAAATCTGTTGTTTTGCCCAGCTGACCTCTGCAAAACTTATCAGCGTATTAGTTTTGTCAAAATAAGACAATGTAAATAATTAAGAAAAGCTGGTAGATTTCATTTCAGCGTATCTCGTGATGAAATCCATCATTTTGTTCACCGAATATCATCGGGCACGATTGAGATCATATATAGAAGATTCACCGTTTCCTGAACGCCATTAGATGAACGCCCTGAAAGTTGAAAGATATTTGCAAGAACACCTTGAAAAGATCCACCTCCAACGCTTTCATAAGACAAATATGAAAAATATTTTAGGTCATAAGGCTATGAAGAATTTCGTGTATTTTAAAAATCGCAGAGGCGTATAATTTTAGGTCTCTCCCCATTATTTCATCCGAAAAAAAATTCAGACATTGTGTATCGACTGTCTGCATATCTATTGAATAAAGAGCTATAGATCGCACTTGAACAGTTTCGGCCTTAAAAATTCATGATTAACTGTATATATAAAATCTAAGATCTATAAATATTGATTTTCAACCATATATAGAGCCTTGAAACACATCTAAAGCTCTAAGTATAAAGCCAAAGTAAAAATTCTTTTTCGGGATAGTATAGGTTATAACATGCATGCAATCGATATTTCTCAACCAGATAAATATCATAGCCAAATCTCATTGTTTATTGTCTCGATGTAAACCGAAACGTTGGCTACTCTCTTGTAAAATGTCAATGTTTGCAATAGAAACATTTAGACGACTCGTGTGCAAAAAAAAACACTGACCATTGCACTTTAATCGTCGCTATTGGCAACGATTGTTCTCAGATTATAATTTGCCCATGGCAAAGTAGCAAGTCCAACGTACTCGCTTGTTAAGTAAAAACTTGTAATTGTAACTCAATCATTGAAGTTTCAATTCGATGTTTAAATTAATTCGGTCAAATATGTCCATAGTCCAGTACAAATGACCACAATGAAAACACAAGTTTCTTTAGTATAGTTTTTGTGAAATGACGAGACTAATTTAAATCTGGACGCAGATAATAGGGATAGAAAAAAAACAACAAAACCAAAGGACACATAACACAGTACGATCTAACCCAATTGACACAACGATGTTCGGGATAAAACCTAACTCTACTGGTGTAAACGAAACTGCAGTGAATATTATGTGGTGTATATTTGCGTAATATCTTGGATAAACTTCCCAGAAACATTAATCTTATTGGCAGAGTTTAAATAACTTTAATATCATGCAGGATGTTGCTGAAAAGGAAACAGGGAACAAAATAGTTTTACGATTATCTTTAAGAATGGGTGGGTAATTATACGACCGTCAGAAAATAGGACAACAATATAGGAGGAGCTTTTCGAAAGGGCAACCCCCTTGCGTACGACCAACGTTGATTGACAGTACGTAAACACGCGGGTAAAAACGTGATACGCACGAAAAAAAGACTGGACTTCTCTCCTGAGTTCCGGAGCCCTGGCGCCCCGATTAATATTCCGCATACCAGGCTTTTAAATACCAGATGTGACGCTTTATCTAACTGTAACACGCCAGCTTAATGCTTTCTGGACCCCTTGAGAGAACAGTTTTAAACTGATAGAGTTGCATGTGCAACATAGTTAGTTCAGATAAGAATATAAATACAGTTTATAGGATTAGAGGTTTCATCCTATATATAGTCAAAAATATTTCAACATGAGATAATCAGGCTTGAGAGAACTGTTTGGAACTGATAGAGGAATATCTGACTAGCACAACGAGAGTTTCCTCCGGTAGTAACACTAGATCATTAAGGGATATCGGACCCTCTACGAAGTGAAGTTGAGAATTGATCGATAGAACTATCCAGTATAACCGGGTATTTACTGGACTCTGAAGAGAACAGTTTAGAACTGATAGAGCTATCCAGTATAAATTAAGTTAGTTTAGTTTAGGTTTCCTCATGTAGTAACACTGGATGAATAAAATATGATCCTTACTGGACCTCCAGGAAGAACAGTTTAGAAATGATAGATAAAGCTAGTTTAGTTTAGATTTCCTCCTGTAGTTACACTGAATCAATACGAGTTGATCCTTACTGGACCTCCAATCAGCAAAAGATCTAGAACTGGTCTACAAGCAATCTTACTTTTAAAAGGAAATTCGAAAAAAAGGTTGTTAAAAAACTGTTGCTGGAAAGATTATCTACAAAATGGTGAATTGTGTGAGTGAAATATAGCCAGCCTAACAATTTCTTGCCTAAAAGTGAACGGGGGAAATATTCAGAGTTTATGCGCACGTTCTAGCCGGAGTCCGCGCGTACAACACTCCAGATCTTCGGCTGTCCTTTTATCCGCCCACTTCAGCAAATATTAGCGCAACTTCCGTTTTTTGTTTACGAACACTTGGCATAAATTGAAGCCAAAGCGCAGTTAGCGGACAGATATCGAGTAGAAGCTTTGCATGAACAGCGCA